ACTTTAAAGTCATTATTTATTGCAATTTGTTTTATGGACTGAAGTTCTTTATTATAGTTTTCATGGTTTAGATTAGAATTGAACAATATTTCAATTAAAGATGCAAAAGTTGATATTTTATGAATCCATAGGTGGTTGGAAGAACTGCAAATAATGTTGCCTGTATATGTTTTCTTGGCCCAATATCGTACAAAATTAAAAACATTCTTGGAGAAATATTGAACACGAGAGGCCAAAAGTTGCTATAAACGAAGTCATTCTTTTCATCTTTAGTACACTTTGACCCCATATGGATTCATTCAAAACAACTTTCAGGCTCACAGTCCAAGGAAACATTAAATTAGTAGCCCTTGTTTTAAGAATACCAAGTCGTCTTTCAAATATCGGCGGATTGAGAAATTAATAAATCAAAGGGACAGATTTATAATTATGTTGTTTACTGTGGAGTATCTACGAAAAAAATCCAAAGACTGTGATGCCAAAATTTAATTTAAGTCAAATAATAGTTTTTATCCATAGCAACATTTGGGTTCATAATTACTACTCCATTAAAATATTAAACTGGTTTTTCAAATTTCGCTTGTTTCTTGGATAAAATAATATAAAATACGAGAGGCCAAAAATTGCTACAAATGTAATTAATGATTGTAAAAGAGTATAAGTAATTATTTTCATCTTTAGTACACTTTTGTCACACAAATTCATACAAAACAACTTTCAGGTTCACAACTCAAGCTAAAGTTAAATTAATTGTCGTTGTTTTAAGAATATCAAATTGTGATTCAAATACCGGAAAAAAGAAAAACAAATCTAAGAAACAATTTCATGGTGATATTATTAACTGTAAAGTACCCATGAAAAAAATCTAAAGAATGCGATGTCAAAAGTTACTTTATATCAAATAATACATTTCATACATAGTAACATTTGACCTTATAATTACATGTTTCGGAATAATGAGCTTCATATCTATCATTTCAAGTACAATTTTTGTTTTTGGAAATGAAATTCCAAGTGATTAGAAGATAAAACAGAAACTCAAAAATGTATGGAAACGATGCATGACGTTCCAAGATATTAATTCCTAAAATTTAAAGCACACCCTCAAACAAATATCCAGATTGGCTCCATAAGTAGAAAAATAATTTATGAGATTAACAAAAACTTGTGCTGCTAATTGTAGAAGTGCCTGTACACACAACCATAAAAGTAAATTTATTACTCCAACTTAAACTGGTATTTTAAAATTGACATGTACGCCTTTCTTGGAGAAATATAAAAAGAGAGGTTAAAAGCTGCTATAAAATAGTAATGTTTCTTTTTTCGAAATCGCGCAGTAATGTGCTTTTTCTATGTTCAAAAATCGGCATAAAAATTAAATGCGGTGTTGTCATATTAGTATTATCTACCTCCACAATTACATTTTACAAGGTTATAAATTGTTTTTCGGTTTAGCAGTAATTCTATACTCCTTGTTAACCCTTTTTATTAGTTATTAGAAACACATCCGGTTTATTATTTTTATAAATATAATTTATTAACTAAATTTGCGCGTAATCTCGCAACGTCGCAACCTTGCGGATTTCGTAAAGTGCAGCGGCATTCTATGGCAGCGAACAATGTGTATCCACCACGTATCCACATAACCTGTAATAAGTTATTTGTTCGGTGCAGAAACAACCATGGAAAACATTATATGGAGAATATCTCATTGCATACGAGTATTTCGCTGAAAAAGAAAATTCTGTGAAATCAACATTTTGGGCTACATAGGCGTTGTTAAAGTCAACTATGTTAAGGGTCCCCAGTAGCAGACCGAAAAATGAGCTAAATAGATTTTCATTTTACGGGCGTAATTTCAACTTTGAAAAAAAGATCGACATTTCAATTGATAGATTATGTCTAAATCTCTGGGGAACACACAATATTTTTTAAAATAAGTGATTGTTTAGTGTTTAATTAATCGTTCATTGTTCGAAGGAGTTTGAGTTTTTAGACGAGGAGAGAGCATTTTTCGCTTCAACTTTTATATCAGTGCAAAGACAACATTGAGCTCTATGGGGAAGACCCGGTCATTTTTGTTTAAAATTTATATTTATCAAAATATTTGCGTTTTAAAAAAATACTGAATAATGAAATTAAATTGAAACTAGGCAACTCTATTTACAAAGGATTCGTTTCCATAAATGGTCGAGTTTGACACAGCAGGGAGCCTTGCCGACCGACCCTTTCAGGTAATCCGTCCAGGTACGCTAGGTCATAAAACTCATAAATACTTTTAGCTTACGAACATTGTTGAAACTCTTTTACAAGTCGACTCCTTTCATTGCTAACATAATTTGAACAGTGACTATGTATTTAAGCATCTATACTCACTGATTTGAATTAAAAGTATGCAAATTTTTATAATTTTATACATTCTACTAAAACATTTTCTTACAAAAAATTATTCCAGTATTTTTTACTAATCTGTCATTCTATATATGTATAAATCAATACACAAAACTGACAAGATTTAGATTCTCATCACTTCACTAACCACTTATTTACCTGAACAATCATATTTATTTAAATTTAATTTTTTGATATTCTTTTCCGCACCACCTATGAGGAAGAGTATTATAGGCACGTTTTTTATGTGATATCTCCAGTAAACCTATTCCAATATTACTATTTATTCCTGTCTGTGTTTATACTAGAAGGGGAAAAGATTTATATGAACTACACATGACGCGAATGCAAATAAAAAATTTTAATTGTACAATCTTTTCTTTACAATTTGTCTAATGGGTTGATTTGTTTAATAACGAGAATTTACTCTCTCCGGAAGTAAGGCATAAAATAAAATTTTTCTCTCTATCTATTTCGCTCTATCATATTATTTTCCCAACATTTATCATCTCGTTGCATTAAGTATTATTTAAATTGGACATTTTATATATTTCTAAGATAGCGTTTTTGTTTATTAAGCCGTCTAGCGATGCCGCTAAAAATGTACAAACCGCCTTGTCTTATTGTCAGTTTGGTGTTACTGCAAAATGCTTCAGTTGCCCTTGCTTCATTTTCTATGCAAAGATTTTGGGAGAGTACATGCCGAACTAGATTTGCAGGGATGTAAAATGTTTTTCACAGTACAATAAGATTACTTGTTCTCTCATTTTGCAAATTTTACCAAAATAACGTTCGGTTAGTCTAAAGGATTTTTCTTCGCACCATTCTGGATTATTGCGTTCGCAAATTGTGTTTTGTTCGATTAAAAAGATATCAATGTTTGAAAGTTTTTTGAGAAATACTTTTCGCGCTGTGACATATCAGGTATTTCAACTGCCTCGTTATTAGATACATCGTCGCCCGAGAACTTGTATGATCCACAGACCGGAGCGCGCTCAGGCCAATGTCGACTCTATAAGCCTCCAAAAATTCTGCGGGAAATAGTTATTATTTAGATGCTTTTGTTTACACACGTCTCACATGTTTCACTCGACTTTGACACTCAACTATTTTTTTGTTTAACTAAGAATTAATACTTTCACTGCGTTTGATACTAACGTCCTAAATTAGCAATACTAGTGGAACAGTAATCAAGCAATAGATTTTTTTGGGACAGAACAGTTAATTTTTATGTTTTAGCAGCAATGTTTATGTTAATTTTCTATTAATTTTTAGGTACATATTTTTAGTCACAATTTTGGTAGTTATTTTTTACTTTTATTTTTAGCAATAATAAATAGTCCAAACATGAAAAAATAAAAAAAAAATTAAAATCGGAAAATCTAAAATTTAGAAATCGAGAAATTGAACAATCGTATAATTGAAAAATCGAAACATCAAAAAACTGGAAAATCGAAAAATTAAAAAAAAAATGGAAAATCAGAAATATAATGAATTCCGAAAATTGAAAAACTGAAATATGCATAGAAGAACTGAAAACTGGAGAAATCGAAAAATCTAAAATTTTAAAAATTGAAAAATTAAAATATCGAAAGGTTGAAAAATTGCGAAATCGTATTAGTGAAACATCGGACAATTGAGAAATCGAAAAATAAAAAAATAGAGAAATCGAAAATTTGAAGAATGGAAAAATTGAAAATGTCAAAAATTAAAATACTAAAAAATTGAAACATCAAAAGTTGAAAAATCGAAAAACCGAAAAGTCGAAAAATCTCAATAATGTATTTATAAACCACAAGTTCAGGATTATGCTACTAAAAAATTGATAACATCATCTCAAAATTTTGCTGAATAAATTCAACTAAAAATGTGCAAAATATGATGAGTTTTTACTTGTAATTTAGCATTGCATTCATATTTTTTTAGATTTGCTTATATACCTAGGTGGCTCAAAAAAATTAATGAATGAGTCAATTTATTCTATTGATTAAATCAGTCTCGACTCACTCCATTTTCCCAGAAATTTTTGGAATACTGTTATTTTTAGTCTAATCCACATTGATTTACGTGTCCTTGCAAAATGTTGATGATTTCATCACAAAATTGTGTACCTAAAGTAAAAATTTAACTCGAAAATGCTGGATATGTTTCATTGTATTTTAGGTGCGAGGGAAGTTCTGTCGAAACAACTTTACACCAATTTTTTTTGCTGTTATATTTGAACATAAACAGTTTATTTTATATACATATTTTTAAAACATTATAAAGAAAATAAAAAGTTGTGTTAGACTGAACCTTGTGGGTTTCTCAATCTATTTTCCGCAGCATTTTAAACTTTCAACTCAATTTCTTTCAAAATAGATAGAAATGGATTTCGATGGTTATTGCCTGTACCCTTCATTTCAAAATAAATAAGCTTATCTGGTGTTGTTTACCGATTTGCATTTTATGACGGACTCCCTACAGTGACCATAATCTCTCCTCTCTTGGGTCGCTACCAAGTGCCGTGCATCCGTACTTTGGGTTGCATAGTTACAAAAAATAATTCTTCTCACTGAAACCGATTTTGCGTGCGACGACTGGGGACCCTTAATATAAAACAGCATAGATATAATCTAAGTACACCAAGTTCTCAAGCAAAAAATATAGGTTATGTTTCCCAGAAATCAAATATAGTTACAAGAGAAAACTTACGAAAATTTTTAACAGAGGCCCGTGATTAATGTACCTAATGTCAAAGGTAATCTAAAAGAAGGTCAATCACATTGTCTACAAAACATAATGTTTTAGGTATATTTTTTATTCGAAGTTGTAGGAGTATGCGGAATAGAAGAATTTGAACAATTTTCTTGTATCTACATAACCTATAATAAGCTTTTATTATTATTACAGAACAGATTATTAGCTTACATGCCCATTTTAAATGAAAGTATGAAGCATACCTCTTATTTTTTGGCACTTTTAATAATATTTTTGCTTGCAGAAAGATCTGCAGCAATTGCAAAATATAGATGGATAGCTATAATAACAAGAAGTTTACATGCATTCGACCGAACTTGCAAAAACTGGCAGATAATATATCAAATTTATTATCCAAAAACTCAGCCACAGTTTATGAAAAGCGGTATGAAAAATTTTTTTTTGGCGCAGAAACAACCATGCAAAATATATAGAGAACACCTCATTGCATACAAGTATTTCGCTGAAAAAGCAAATTCTGTGAAATCTTTAACACTTTGGGCTGCATAGTCGTAGTTAAAGTCAATTCTGTTAATAAAAAACAGCATAGATATATCTAAGTACACCAAGTTTTCAAGCAAAAAATATAGGTTACGTTGCCAAGAAATCAAATATATTTACAAGAGAAGACTTAGCAAAATTTTTACCAGAAGCCCGTGATTAAATGTACCTGATGTTAAAGGTGATCTCAAACAAAGTTAATCACATTGTCTATAAATCATTATGTTTTAGGTTTATTTTTTATTACAAGTTGTAGGAGCATGTGGAATGGATAAATTGAGAAATAATGACGGCACTCAAGACAAAAACGATACGCTAATAATTAAAATTCCTACGTCTAAAACTGGCAAAGCACGAGAATTTACAAATATGTGTAAAAATATTTATCCAATTGAAATATAGTAAAAATACCTAATTTTAAGACCGCACCATACACCAGACAAATCATTATTTATTCATTACATTTGGATAGTGAATGCAGCAGCTGCTGCATTGTACAAATATACCTGCAAACACACTGTAACAAATTATGCAGACACCTCTTTTGACTAAAAGATATATATTTAACTTTATCCATACGTTGTCAACTTTGTTAATAATTGCAATCTTTAATTTCATAAGAAATATGAATAATCTACTTTGGTGTTTTATAGTAGTATTAAATGTTCATAGAATATAATTGCACTTACTACGAAGTAAGCTTTCCTAGTTTTAAGTTGTGTTTTCTTTTCTCTTTGATTATCTTAATTTCTTCAGCCTCTATGTGGCTGTTTTAATTCCAAAAAATTGTTTCTGAATAAACTGATTCATACCAGTTTTTCTTTCTTTTACTCGAAAACAGTTTAAACTATAACTCCAAATATTTACTTGCTTTAAAATGTGTCGAGCATTCGCTTGTTGTAAATGATGCAACCATAAATACAAATTTGAACACTGATATGACAGGTTTGAGGCTAGGATGTGGTTTTCATATTCTCCCATTACTTGTTGCCTATGTGGCGGCACAATAACACGCGGGTAAAGCAGAGTAAAGATAAGTTGTCTTGTGGTGTAGCGGTTAGCATACCAGCCCGGAGAGCGTGGAGACGTGGGTTCGAATCCCACCGAGGCACAACATTTTTCTCTGCTTTCCCACATTGGTGACCTCCGACAGGCAACGCGCACGCAACATCCTTCTGCCACCGCCCTGTGCCCGCTGTGTTCGGGGTCCGCAGCACCGCCAGGGTTCGAACAACGACCGTAAGAGTGGTAGGAGCGACGCCAGCAACTATCTCCTTCGCACCCCAGCACGACCGCGCGCTGTGTCGCTGGGGGGGGAGTACTGTGGCGGCACAATAACACGCGGGTAAAGCAGAGTAAAGATAAGTTGTCTTGTGGTGTAGCGGTTAGCATACCAGCCCGGAGAGCGTGGAGACGTGGGTTCGAATCCCACCGAGGCACAACATTTTTCTCTGCTTTCCCACACCTAAATCTGGCGCGAGGCCAAAAGTTATCATTGACGTATATATATATATATATATATATTTTGATAATTCTACCTATTTTACGTAATTTATTATTTCCTAAAATACTGAATTTCCTAAATACTTTTCTGTACTTAAATAAAAACTAATCAGCAAAATTTAAGAGAAAAATCAAGAAAACCTACATAAAATTGAGCACGATTTTTTTTTGCAAATTGTGTCGATTCTACATTAGCCGAAGGAACTTCGTTCCTACCTGGTGTCCCGCGACACCACATCTTTTTTATATTTTATGCTGCAGATGTCAGCATGGAATTGGCAATATTATTCATTAAAGAAATTTATAAAACAAAGAAAACCTTTTTTAAAACAATTAAAATAACCGTTTTTTATTCACTAATATCTCTATGCATGTGTCAGCATTTTTTTTTATAATTACTCTAGGCTTCGTTTTATTATCGACTTACTTGGCTAGTTACCTATTTTAGAATTGCAACTGTTGAAATTTTATATTTATTTTATTTAGATCATATCCCAACAACTCCATTTCGTTTCTTTACAATAATATAATAATATTTTCATTTTATATAAAGCAAAATAATATTAGTTTCCCATGTAGTATTAAATAGTTTCTTCATGTTACAGTAATGAGTGACTATTAATGTTTGTAATTTTTTTTTGTCACTTTATATCTAAAATTTATTTTATGATGGTATGGACTTTCATGCTCGCATAAATCCTGATGACAATCTGAATTTGTATCCAGTGCCGAAACTAGCTATAGGCGGAGTAGGCCCTTGCCTAGGGACGCCAATGACAAGGGGCGCCAAATTCATCCAAAAATTATGTTATACTAACCAAGAATGATTTGTTTGTTTCTTTTTTTTTATATTTTATCATAGTATTAGTTTTGTATACTTATTAAAAATGTAGATAAAATTATTTGGTAAAATTGCATTTTTTATGTGTAAACGAGGGGCGCCTAACGCAAGGTTCGCCTATATCTAAATATTCTCTAGTTTCAGCACTGTTTGTATCAAAAGTTAAGTTTAAGTTGTATCAAAATCAATATGATTTTGATACAACTTAAAAGTGAGGCTGCACGGGATTTATGTGAGCATTACTGTACATCTGTAGCTGTACTGTACAGAAGCTCCTCTTTTATCACGTTTGCTTACGTGCCCACTCATATCAAAATTGACAACTATGAAATGGCATTACCAATAATTTACAACTGTCAACACAAAAATTTGCCTCAACCAATAATAGTCACCCGGTAGCTTCTGTTTTAATAAGAAAGGAGAATTTGATTTAATTATGTGCTTGTTTAATTTCCTACCATAAAAGCAATCTACAAACAGCTAAAAGTAAATCTAAAGTTGCTGTGAAAATAGGTTAGTCTACATTAGGGGAATGTTGTATACTTGTCATACAAAAACAAGATGAATCTGATATCTAGTTAATTTTAGAAATAAACAATTGTGTTTATATTATATTAAAAAAATGAAAAAAAGGGAGGAAGGTAGTACGGCATACAACAATTCCTTAACCAAATTAACGCTAGCTGACTACCAATAAGAAGATATTTAAGAAAAGGTAGTAAAAAATGTATTTATATGAAAATTTAGACTATACTTCCTATTGATTTAAAATTTATGTTAAATTATGAATTTTAAATCATAAAATTTTTCTAACCCTGGTCTGGATGTAGTTCATTTTTATAGATTTTAGTTAGGTATACCGCCTGTCTGGAAAATGGCGGATTAACTCTTCAATACGTTATACACGGGGGTTTCGGGAGTCCCAAAAAAATAATAAAAAAATTCTTTATGATGTACATTACGAAAAAAACGTAATTTTATAAAAGTAAAATTGGCAACACTGCACACCCCTAATGAGTGAATACGTCCAGCTTACTTTCTGGTTTCTTAGCAACGATGGTGACTGAAATCCACCTTCGCTTTATGTCAGGCAAACATTGTTGTCAAATGGAATTTTATCAAATTATTACAAAAACAACACAGCCATATCTTTGTGCATTCTAACTGAAATGGTAATCTCGCCCATGACCATGTTTACATGGTCATGGGCGAGAAAAATATTAACTAAAAGTTTTATTACTAGTTATTGTGATAACGAATGAGCTGTTTAGTTGTTAAACGTAGCAAAACAACCAATTTTAAAATCATAACTCCACCAAAATGTGAGAATGATTTTTTTTACTATTTTTCCCAGACTCACCAGTTGATTGTTAAGAGCGTAGAGGAGAGTTAATCCGCCATTTTCCAGACACCCGGTATAGAGCGAAATTTAAAATACGCCTACCTTGGGGCATGGCTGAAGTTGTAAGAATGGACGGAAATTAAGAAAATTGGTGACGTTTCTGAACAGGTAATGCATGCCTATTTTGCTGAACAAGCAGAGAAGTTAAAACCATCTTTCTTATGTGGCGATATTCCATGTTGCGAACGTTGGTGTTGACTACGAAGAATATTGATATTACTGAATATCATCAGGTTGTGGCTTTCTTCTCGGAAATCAGAAGGTTACCATCCCAGAAAATCGTTTATTTTTTCCAAAGAAGAGATAAATCAATATCTTAAGAAAATGAATGATAAGGATTTCTTATTTATGAAGGTAAATTGCAGCTCATATTAATAAAAAACAATCTCAAATTTATATAGTTTCAGGTTGTTTTGATAGTCGAAGTGTTTGGTGCTTGTCGACGTGAGGAGATCAGAAATTTGACGACACGAGACGTTAGAGTCGAAAAAGAATTTATCAAGATCACCTTACTAGATTCAAAAACTAAAATTACGTGGAATTTGCTATAACGAGAGGAAATGTATATGTTGCTTGGTCATAGAGGCTGGAAGTTGGGTAGCATGGCAGAAGGATATGTTGAAACATTTGTCGAAAATAAGAAAATAATTGCTACGAAAATAATGGGTTCTTCGATTACTGTGGGTTCAACAAATTAGGTCACGGTGGAGAAGCCCAGCTTCAACATGGGAACAGCGTCTGGAGTTAACTTTACAAATGTTTCAACCTGTGTAATTTATGTTAATAAATGGTTTTGCAACTTTATTTTTTAAAAGTCACTCTTTACAGCACTAGTGCGGTAAAAACTATCATTACAGTATCCAAGAAAAACCTGTAATCTGGCACATTAAAATAATAAAAGTAGATAAAATGTGTTACGATGCATGTAACGTTCTTCAAACATATTACCTCGTAATGTAAAAACCCTCATAACGTTACTTATATCGTATATACTACTATTTCATACTGTGTCAAATTTGACGTTTTACTGGATTCGAACGAGTCCGGTAAAATCAAAATAACGAACAAGTCCGGTAAAATTGAGCCAAAAAGACAAGTCCTGTAAAGTGTTACTATGTGTTTAAACATTAATATTATATTATTACTAGCTGACCCGGCAAACGTTGTTTTGCCATATAAATTATTTCTAGCGAATATTTTGGTAGTTAAATAAAAATTTAAATTAAAATAAATAAATTATAATTAAATTAGATTATAAATTATAGATAAAAATTTATCGTACGATAATGAAAATGGGGGTTGGTGGTAGAAGGGTGAAAAGCTAGGGTTATATGTATTTTTGATGGCAAATCTTAAAAACATTAAAATAAAAAACTTTGTCCAAAAAATACACAAAAAAATTTTTGTGTGGGCTACCCTTATCACTTTTAGAGGGTATTAGTGACTTTGTACAAAACGCAGATAGGTTAATTAACATTTAATTATAAACAATATTAAAATACACATTGTTTAATAACAGGTACAATAAAAGTTTTTATGTCCGATTGCTCTATAAACGTTACTTTCTTTTATAATTTAGCGGCCGTAATGTGGTACTTTATGGTACTAGTACAATAAAGACAACTTTATTTTACACTTGTTTTTATTAAAGTTTTCGTGAATACAATCAAACTTACTAACTAAAATAATCTAGGCATGATCGCAATGTTTAATATTTACAACATAACTACTACCAGAAAACGTATATTGGATATTTTCCTTGTCGCATTTCACTGCTTTTGTTTCTATTACTGCTTCTGCTTCTATTACTGCTTCTTCTTTTCCACATGAACATATCTTCAGCAACATCTTTTTCC